TTCTCCTCCTCCTCCTCCCGTGCACGCCTCCCGAGGGGCGGCCCCCCTGGTGGGGGGGCCCGAGCGGCGGGCCCGAGCGCCCAGCGGGCCGCGGCGCGCCGGAACAGGGGGGGGGGCGGCACAGAGCGGGGCGGCCGGGCGGCCTGCCCAGAGCGGCGGCTACAGTGGGTGCGGTCTGCGGAAGGTGCGGCTTGCCTCCCGTCATATTCGGGAGCGGCCAAGAGGGGGGTGTGCAAATCATGACCGGCGGCATGTGCGCGGCCCAGCGGGGGGGCCAGGGACGTAGTGGAATAAGAAGAGGCGCCATGACATCTGGGGAAATATCATGACCCCCGCCATGATATCCACCCCCCCCCTAGTCATCACCCCCCTCTTTTCCGCCCCCGACCTATCTGCCCCATCCCGCCCCCGGGGAAGCGGACGACACTGTCACCCAAATGCGACCGAATCACAGGACGCCGTCGCTCCTTCTATAGCACAGTGGAGCATGCATCGAAGACGCCAAGGTCGCTCGAGAGCGACGGCAGTCATGACACGGTCTCCCACAAGGGCCCCGGAAAGGCCGCCACAAAGCAACTCGCAAACCGCACCCTGGCGTAACCGCACCGATTGTAGTCGCCGACCAGAGGGCGGGGGGGGTCCTCGCAGGAAGGCTGGGGGGCCGCCCCCGAGGGGCCCGGGGAATGCTTCCTCGAGAGGGTCTCTCGGCAGCTGGGCACAGACAGGGATCGCGTCGGGCAAGAATCATCGAGACGGGAGGTGTTTGGCCATTTCCGGCCTCGGAGGGCCTCCGCAAGGCCTCGGGGCCGTGAAGAAACGGCTCAGGCTGAAAAGCCGGCCCCGGGGAAAGGGTCGGGACTTCCAGGGACCCCGTACAGGGCAGTTTTTAATACATGGGGTTTTCAACAACATAGGATTTTTTTACACATGGGTAATTTATGAATAGATTTATACATGAACTCATCGTTGTTTAGAATACTGAATCCCTGCATTTTTAATACATGATCCGCACGCGGAGCATGTATTAAAAACGGCACCGTACTGACAAGGTCAAGACGCCGTGTGCCTGTGGGAGGGCCTCCGCGAAGCCGCCCGCCTGCTCGGCAGGTCGCCGCCGAGGCCGCTCTCCCAAAGTGCGCGCCGCACGCATCGGTGCCGGCGGTGCGCAACACCCGACGTGTCGCTTGTCGCGCGCAAGGGTTAAGTCGGGCCTGTCCCCCTACAGGGGGATTTTCGAAGAAAAATGAGAAATACCCCAAAAATAATAAAAACATATTCCAAACATAGTCTGGGGACTATTTTTTGAGAATTTTTTGAACTTTTTGAACTATTTTTTGGGTATTTTTTATTTTTCGTCGAATGGGGGGACACGCCCGACTTAACGCAAGGGCTGGCTCTGCTGATGACAGGCCGAAGTTCAAGCGAGCCTCGCGCCTGCGGGGTGGGGAGCGTCGGGCCAGCCGCAGTCTCGGCTTCTACGCTCGAGGGACGACCTTCTGCTCGAGGCATCTTCCAGCACGCGATCGGAGACATGCTTCACCCGAGGCGCTCTGGCTTCAGACCGTGTGCCGCACAACTGGCCATCGCTCGGACGTCCATTCCCTGTGTTTTTTTCGGTTTCGTGCGTGGTTTTTTCGCCAAATGATCATGGATGCTCCTCGATGGTCCTCGCCGAAGGAAAAATGGCAAGATAACATGGGCTCGCGCCTCTTCTCCTTCGTGACCGACTCCGGAAGCCCTGAACCCCCGACATGATGACGTCTCACTTTGGGAGGCGGCCTGGGGGTCTGAGCTGGTGGGGGCCCCAGAAAAAATCCGCCGACCCCGTCGGCGTGAGTGAGGGGCTTCCCCGCTCGAGTCGGGCTTCTCCGTTCGAGTCGTCGTCTCCGTCGTCCTCCGTTCCCTTTCTCTGGGCCCTCCTCCTCAAGCGCGCCGTCCAAAGCGAAATTGAGCAATGTCGGAGTGGGGTCGAAGGGAAGCCCCTTCCCTTTGATCCCTTCCCCGCGGGGGGGGGGAATCCCGGGGGGGTCCTGGGGTGGGTCCCGGGGGGGGTGGTCCCCATCCAGATACGCTTCCCCCCCGCGCGGTCCCGGAAGCACAGAGAAGTCCCCGAGAGTTCTCTGCGAGACCCCCAAGAGGCCGCCAGCGCCCCACGAGTCTCCAACAGGGTGCCATGACGGGGGTACCGAACGGACATTTCGAGCCCTCGGCCCCGAGAGGACCCCAGGAGGTACCGAGGGGCCCCCAGGAAGCTCCAAGAGGTTGCCAAGAGGCTGCCAAGAGGCCCCCAAGATGCTCCCAAGATGCCCCCAAACTGCCCCTCAGAGGCCTCCGAGAGAGCTCCGAAGAGACCCCAAACAACATTCCTGAGGGCTCTGACCCACGTCAGCGTCGTCGTTGTCGCCGCCGCCGCCGCCGCCGACGTCGTCGTCGTCGTCGTTGTCCCCCTTCAGGGTCGGCAACACCGGCCGTAAGGCCTTCGCAATCGGTTCCCAGACCCCTTCCGGGTCCACTTTTTTTTTTTTTTTTTTTTTTTTTTTTTTTTTTTTTTTTTCTTCTGCACCACAAATTATTTTTGCACGGGCCCGGGGCCCGACGGCGGCCCCTCGAGGCCGCAAGTTGGCGGGCGAACCTCCCCCGAGCCCCGCACCTCTCGCACCCCAACATGCCCGCCCTGCCTGCTGGCCGGAACCCTGGCTGGGCCACCCCAGCCCCCCCTTCTCGAGGAGAGCCCCCTACTCGAGGAGAGCCCACAATCGAATCGATAAGTCGGATCGGCGATCAAAATGAATTCCCCGGCCGGCTCTGCACGTCGCTCCTTTTTCCAGTCGTGCTCCCTTCCCGCATCGTGCCCGCTCCTCTGCCTGCTCCTGGCCCCCCCCCCGGTGGCCAGGAAGAGAGGCCCAGGAGACAGCACAGGCTAGCAACGAAAAAGGAGCTTGGCCCCCCCCCCAAAAATCAGGTGGGCTTGCATCAGAACTGAACAGAGTGTGTGCGTCCGCCGCCTTCCGCCGCCGACTCCGCCGCCGCTGCACTCTGCCGCCGCCCTCCGGCAGAGGCCGCCCGCCGAGGGCGAGCGAGCTCGCGCCGCGGGCGAGGGGGGCCTCCGTGCGGGGCGCCCCCCGCGCGCCCCGCGCAGCGCGGCGTGCGAGGGGCGGGCGAGGCGCGCCGCGCACGGCCGTCGCACCGTGGCTCCGAGGGTGGCTTCGCACTGTTGAGCAGGGGGCCGACCGTCCCGGCAGTCCTATGGTCATACCACGAAATTGACTTAGAACCCCAAGAAGGTTCTAAGAACAAGAACACCGTTCTTAGAACAGAAGCCCGATGTGTGAAACAAACAAGACAGTCCCAGCCATACATATTCTAACAACATTTGTGGGAACCGCAGAAGGTTCTTGGAACATTGTTTGGTGGGGCCATAGGCGAGCCGGGACGCTTCGCCACTGCTTGACACTGTGCGTCCGAGCTCTTCCTGCGCACGACCGCCCCAAGCGGACCACACGTCGACGTGGCCACCTCCCTGGGGAGTGCTCTGATCAGCTGCCCGCGCGCAAGAGCGTGAAGGCGCCAGGCGAGCGACGGGCGACGATGCTGTTCTCGGTTCCCAGTGACCCATTCTCTACCCTCCCCCTCATGTCTACCCTCCACCTCCACCATCTGCTCTCGACTCTCTGCTGTCTACCCCCTACTTGAGGAGAGCCCACAATCGAATCGATAAGTCGGATCGGCGATCAAAATGAATCGGATCGGCAGAAGTCGGCAGCCAAGTCGGGAGAAGTCGAATCGGCAGAAATCGACAGGCTAGTAGGCCTCCGTTGAGGAATCGGCATCGAAATCGGAATGCGAAGTCGAATCGAATCGGAATCGGAGGCCATCGAAATCGAATCGAATCGGAGGAATCGAAATGAGCCCTGCTACTCTGGCCTCTCCACCCTCTGCTCTCTGCTTCCTGCACTCCCCACTCTACTCTACTCTGTCCAACTACTGTCTTCCTACTGACTCTCGATCCACTTCTCTCTTGGCCACCTCCAGGAACTTGAACCCCAAATGCTCGCGTCGCGCTTTTTCGTCCGCCGCCTCCCCCTCGCCTTCCACCGGCTTCTAAAACAGGGCTAGGATCGGGATAAATCGCTCCAGAGCGTTCAGGAGCGCTCTCAGAGCGTTCCGGAACGCTCTGGAGCGGCCGCGGCGCCCACTACATCCTCCAAACCCGCCGATTCTCAGAGATTTCGAGTTATCCCGATCCGATTTTGTCCCGATCTTCGCGTCGTTTTACTTCCGCCGCCTCCCTCCCGCCTTCCACCGGCTTCCGCTGGCGGACCGGCCACCACCTCACTTCCGCCGGCCTCCGCCGATGGCGAGCTGCGCCGACGGCCAGGCCCGGTCTGGAGCGACTCCTGTGACGTCCTTGCTCACTGCTCTCTGTAGTCTCTCTACAGAAGGGGCGTTGACCTAAGGAACCCTAAATAAGGAACGAGGCCCCTTTTTTTCCATAAATTAAATTTCGATTTCCCATCGAAAACATAAGGAAAGCCTGAGGCAAGCTGTGAAACAATCAAGGAACACCGAGCCCCTCCCCAACGAAAAGGGTTCCTTCTTCAGGGCCCCGACTGTACTCTCAAAGCCGCTCTGATCTCTCTCTCTCTCTCCACCTTCTCTCTGCATTTATCTACCCTCCACTCTCCACTCTGGACACCCAGAAACCTCTGAACCTGGCGGCCGTCCCGAATCGGCGGCGGACCTCACGAAGACTCAGAACACGTGAGCCCGGGACCACGCGCGCTTGCCGAAATCGGCGGCCAACATCCACGAAATCCCCAGCCAACGCCAAGAGCCCGGGGCCCAGAGCCGGGAGCCTTCGAGCCTGGCACCGCCCACTCAAATCGGCGGCCAACCCTCGGCGAGTCCTCGCAACTTCTGCGAGGACCCGGAAGTGCTGGCGCTTCACCTCCTCTGCGCCACAAATGCACTACCTGACAGTTGCGCTTGATATTGCCCTGCGTATGCCGACATGCTTGTGGCACCAGCCTCCCTCGTCGTCTCTCGCCCCTCGTCCCTTCTCCTCCTCCTCCTCCTCCTCCTCCTCCTCCTCCTCCTCCTCCTCCGCCTCCTAATTATGCGTGGAGGAATCGGGTCCCGAGGGAAACGGGTCCCGGACCCCAGAGCCTTCTCTGAGATCCGACATTGCGAAACATGCAACATTGCGGGAAATCGCACACCGAGCCTCAGTATCATAGCTGTTCTGCGCTAGTTTTCGAGCCGAATCGATCTGTGATAGTCCCGGGGCCCGAAACTGGCCGAAAGTGCCCGGTGCAGAAAAAAATGCAACGCCCAGATTCAGGGCTCCCGTGGGTGGCCCCGAGGGCCCAAACACGGCGAACCGCCTCCGGCCCCTTTCGCTTCACGGCGGCCTCCTCTCAACGCGCATCGAGAACCGCCAAGCTCGACAGGACGGGATGCGTTTTCAGAGCCTCCTGGCCCCAACAGGGCATGCCAAGGTCGCTCCCCGACCCATGGCAAATCAGCCCTGCGTCGAAGCGGAAATGGTAATCGCATCGCCTGGAACCAAATCGCTGCGAATCGCCGGTGAATCGAATCGCAAACTGGATCGCGAGCGGGTCAGATCGAACCGGGGACTGGATCGCGAACGGGTGGAGTCGCATCGCAAGCTGGATCGCGCGAGCGCGAAGCAGCGCAGGCGTGGAGCCCCACGCAAGCGGCCGTGTTGGCCGCCTCTGCGGGCCCCAAGACAAGCATTTTTTCCAACCAAGACGTACAACTCCTCCCACAGGGCCCCAAGAAGAGCACAACCACCATTTCTCGGAGGCCCACGCGGACTTCTGAGATCGGCGCTGGACCCTTCTCCCTAGCGCGCGGAGGGGCGGCGCCGGCCCCAGCGAGCAGGGTTGCCAAGTTGCTGGCCGCGGTCGAGCATCGAGGATCTAGAAAAAGGAAAACACATCTAGAAAAAGGAAAACAGAAATCTAGAAAAAGGAAAAAGAAATAGCATAAACGCAAAAAAAGGAAAACGCCATAAACATAAACTTTTGGCGCCCCGCGCGGACTTCTTGGGTCTGCGGTGGACGCCCCTCCCTGGCGCGCGGAGCGCGCCAGGGGGGCGGCGCCTCTGGCGCCGACGGTGGGGCCCAGCGCGGATGCAAGAGATCCGCGTGGAGCGCCGAAAGTCTCTGTTTTTGCAATTTTTTCTTCTTCGATTCTGGCCGCGGTCGAGCATCGATGATCAAAGGTTCTGGATTTTGCTCGTTTCTTTCGTGCTTCTGGGCGCCTCTAAAATCAGGGGAAGTCTGGAGACGTCGAGGGGGCAGGATACTGGGCGTTACTAACACTTCGAGGGGGGGGAAGTGAGAAGGAGAAAACCTTCTCAGATGGCGGCGGGGCTTCTCAGAAATCCTTGCGCCTTCTGAAAAGTTTTTTCAGTCTTCCGGGAAGGCTTATAATGCTTCTCAGAAGGCCGGGGGACTTCCGAGCCTTCTGAGAAGGCCCGCCCCTTCTTACTTCCCCCCAGGGCTCGCCGCCGAGTCCTGCTCCCGCGGCTGCTGCTGATCCTTCCCCTCCTTCTCATCCCCATCCTCGAACTCGGGCTCCTCCTTCTGAAGCGTGCGCGCCTCAACGAAGCTGATGCCAACGTTGCCGGAGGGATCCCTGGCGCCCGGCGAGCACTCATCCCGCTTGGGTTCGGCGGCGTCTGGCCCAGTAAGCCTTCGGGGCGAAAAAACATAAGGTCAAACACTTCTGATTACCGTGTCGTCGGTGCTGGTGTCAGTGGGCCAGCATTGGAGGAGGATGAGGAGGCTGGAGGGAGGAGTAGGGACGAGGAGGGACGAGGAGGGCGAGTAGGGATGAGGAGGGCGAGTAGGGATGAGGAGGAGGAAGACAATGGAGGAGGAAGTGGAAGAATACGGCGGATGAGGTGGAACCCTCACACCCAAAACATCATCCCTCGCATCCGTCCTGGAATGCGTCTTGATCACGATTCCGAGGGTGATCCAGCTGCGGCCAGGAGATCTCTGAACATGGAAAAGGAAGATGCTGACGAGGAGGAGGAGGCCAGGGTAGACCAAGGATGCTTCAACGATGCAGCGATGCACCCTCTCGTCCCAAATCCTTTCTGCATTCGTCCCTTCAAGCGTTCCCTTCCACTACAAAAAGTGTGCCCCACGGTAAGACGATCGCCCAATTAGCCTGACATTCAAGCCAGAGTTTCGTTTGGAAAAGGCGCCGCCCTCCGGACTTCTGCCCGCAAGAAACGCAAAGAAGTGCGTGTAGGAATACAGTTGGCCCGTCTCACAATGATGCGCGATAAGGATGCAAAGGGCCTTGGACGCGCATTCCGAAGCTCTTCCAGCGGGGCGCGGCCAACGAAAGTGGCCAGGGAGAGACCGATGATGCACGGATGCAACAGTACCCTTGGGATAATTGCCAATCCTCACCGTGCGGGTTGGCTGTAAGATTAGAAGAGCTGTCCAGCAAGAGCCCCGCTTTGAAGCAAAACACCTGCCGCGTTGCCCCGTATATGTGAAGCTGTTTAGCAGTTCTTAAACACATTGCCATGCACACAGGACAACCTGAAACGGTGCCCCCATTTAGAAACAAGAGCTTCCATCGACACATGTAGACATTACGCGATTAAAACATGTTAGCAAGCGCGGGCCCCACACAGTGTTTTTCCTGCAACCTATGCGGTGCAGTGTAGGCGGCGCAGCCAAAATGGTGCAGAGCAACGCAAAGCAGTGAAACGCAATGCAAAACAATGCAGTGCGATGCACGGCAGTGCAAATCAACGCCAAACGATGCAGAGCAGCGCAAAACGCCATGCAAGGCAGTGCAGAGCGACGACGCGATGCAAAGCCATGCAAAACAGTGCAGTGCAATCCAATGCGGTGCAAAACAACGCAAAACAATGCAAAACAATGCAGCGCAACGCCATGTGGCGCAAGTGGCGGCAACGGACGGCGGCGACGGGCGGCGACGGACAGCGGCGACGTGCGGCGACGGGGCGGCCACGAGCCGCCAGGGGGCGGCCCTGGGGCCCAGTTGCGGTGGCGACGGACGGCGGCGACGGGCAGGCACAAGCTGGCCGCTGCGGCATAGAGTCGGGGCGTTGACCGAAGGAATCCTAAGTAAGGAACAAGGCTCCTTTTTTCCACAAGTTGAACTTCGATTTCCTGTCGAAAACATAAGGCAAGCCTGAGGCAAGCTGTGAAACAATCAAGGAACACCGAGCCCCTCCCCAACGAAAAGGGTTCCTTCTTCAGGGCCCCGACTGTAAGGGCCCAATTACATTAGAAGAGAAGTAGGGACCTCTGACTGCAAGCACTGTTTGGGGAAATGTTGACAACACCTAGCCTCATTTCGAAGGGACGTGCCTAGCAGCCGTGCACTTGTTGCAATTTGTTGCGAACTTTGAAACTGAATCTGCGCGGCGGTTAATAAGGAATCGGAATTCGAAAAGGAACGACCCTGTATAGTGTACACAGTTCGCTTGTAGATTTTGAAAGGAATGCGTGCGGCGTCAGAGCGAGATCCACATATCGAACAAGCTTTGCCCTCCACTCCTGCACCTGTCGGCGATGGAAGGCTTCAAATCAGATGAAGTCTCATGTGCAACTCCAGGCCAGCCCTGTCTGCGCGTCTGGTCATACGACTGGGAGCTAGGAGGAACACACACACAAATATGTTTATATATGTATATATATATGTATATGTATATATGCATGTGTGTATGTATGTATATATATATACACATCGGTGCATACATATATATATATATATATATATATATATATATATATCTAGAATTTTGTGTATATATGTATATATATGTATTATCATACGCACCTCTCCGAGGGAGTAGAGCTCAGAGGCGATTAATGCATACGCGCCGCGTCGTTCGCGATTTTTCTTGCAGTTTCGCTAGGGACGTCCTCGAAATTCTGAAAATCGGTGGCACCCCTCACACAGATCGTGACGTCAGGGTCCAACAACACCTGGGTATTTCAACATTTTAAAATAAAACCTTCAAAACACACATTGTAATTTCAATGATTTTGACCCCGATTCTCAGAGAATGGCGGTTTCGCCTGAGACATCCTCCCAAAATCGAGCCCCGATGTACGTTCTGGTGCCCCAGACCCCGCCTCGGAGCTTCCTGGGGGCCTCCTGGAACCTCCTGGGGCTTTCTGTACCTTCTGGTACCCCAGACCCCGCCTCGGAGCCTCCTGGGGAGCTCCTGGAACCTCCTGGGGCCTCCTGGGGCCTCCTGCGGCCTCCTGGAGCCTCTTGGGGCCTCCTGGAGCCTCCTGGGGTCTCCTGGGGCCTCCTGAGGCCGCCTGGGGCCTCCTGGGGCCCTCATGGGGCCTCAGAACTACATGCACACACAGAGACACAAATGCCCTTTCAGTTTTTTTGTGTATGAGCCTGGGCACACACGTGCCACTTGTGTGTATATATATATATATATATATATATCCGAATACATGTATGTGTATTTGTGTGCGTAATGGCAAATTTCGGAATTAAGAAATGTTGCTAGCTTTTTTCGGTGTGAATGTGTGCATACACATATTCGCACACCTACACGTATGTAAGGCCAAAGGGAATATTCAGTAGGCAGATGCGGAGGAAGCAGAACAAGGACCAAACATCCTCATCCTTCTCCTCCTTGTCCCTCCCTCCTCCTTCCTCTCTCCTCGTCGCAACGCAACGCAGCAGGAGTCACACGCCGGGCACGAACAGTCAAGACGACCTAGCCCAAGGCAGGGCTCCCCCCCTCCCCGCCCTCCCTGTCCTCGACCTCCTTCCCCCTACTCTCCCTTGCTTCCCTTCCCCCCTCTCCCCCCCTCCCTACCCTGCCTCCCCCCTTCCCCCTCCCTCCCTTCCTCGTCACCCTCCTGTCCTGGGCCCCCGCTTGGGGGGGGCCTGGCCGCTGTCGGTCGCTGCCCGGTGTCGGAACCCGCTCGCGTTGCGTGCTGGTCCTCCACGTCCTCGTCCTCCTCCCCAGGCCCCCGACGTCGTGTTTTTTTCCGCAACGTGGACCCCCAGAGGTCTCGGCCCCTTCCCCTGGACCAGCTGTTCATCCCGAGTGGTTTGCTGACGGTCCTGGGGCCCCGCGAAGGACCCAGAGGCCGAAGATGGCCGCAAACCTCGCGTCGTGCTTTTCGTTGCGACTCGAGAGGGTCTGGGTCGGTATCTTTCCTGCAGATTTGACGCTGCAATGAAGTACAACATCGGAATAATCATCACCAAAGCCCCAGACCCAATCTTCCTGAGTCATTTTTCGAGCCGGATCGATCTGTGAAGGTACGGGGCCCGAAACTGCACGACAAAACGCCCGTCGTGAGAAACTTGCACCGCCAGGATCTCAGGGTCTCTCCCCTGAGAGCCAGCGTCGAGGTCACATCGCCGACGGGCTTGGACTTAAGCTCTACCCGCTCCCCGGAGGAGGAGGAGGAGGAGGAGGAGGAGGAGGAGGGGGAGGAGGAGGAGGAGGAGGAGGAGGAGGGAGGAGGAGGGGGAGGAGGGGAGAGGAGGAGGAGGAGGAGGAGGAGGAGGAGCAGGAGGAGGAGGAGGAGTTCGCATTGCGACGGCGGCGGCCGCGCAAAAGGCCTCCCCGAGCCGCCCGCGTCCAGCGGCTCGGGGGGGGAGACGCACCCGGGCACGGGCAGACTGCCGCTGGGCGCCTCGGCGGCGGCACCGAGCTGGGCGGGCGCGCCGCGGGGAGCGGGGCTCTGCTGCCCCTCCTCCTCCTCCTCCTCCTCCTTCCTCCTCCTCCTCCTCCTCCTCCTCCTCCCTCCTCCCTCCTCCCCCCCCCTCCTCCTCCTCCTCCTCCTCCTCCTCCTCCTCCCCTCCTCCCCCTCCTCCTCCTCCTCCTCCTCCTCCTCTTCCTCCTCCTCCCTCCTCCTCCCCTCCCTCCTCCTCCTCCTCCTCCTCCTCCTCCTCCCTCCTCCTCCCCCTCCCCTGTTTCTATGTCCCATGCCGGCCAAGGTCAATGACCACAGGCAGGCTGCAAGGCAACGCCCCTGAGGGGAGACAGAGAAACGCAGATACCGAGCAGAGGCCCCATAGCACGCAAAGGCGGAGAGTGAGCCAGGGCACGCCCCACACAGTCGCGCAACCTCACAGAGCAATGCAGAGACGATGCGCGAACACGCGCGCCTAAAAACCTGGCAGCACGCTCCTTGGCGCGCCGCGCGTTCTGACATTCCGAGGCGGAGGGCGCACTGCCCTCAGATCCCGACACGCCACTTGCGTGCGGCCCCAATGAGCCTCCATGGGGCACCACTCCCACGCGAGATCCGCCCTTCCCCACGCACGCCCGGGCAGGGGACCCAGGCCGTGGGGGGAATGGGAGGGCCGAAACAAGCGACGAGGAGCAAGAGTCTCTCCTCGCCCGCCCCTGCCGAACATCGTGGTTGCCCACGACCCTCGGACAGGCACAGACAAGGTGACGGTCAGGCTGCTACCCGCCTGTTTTCCTGGGGGCCTCCTCCTCCTCCTCCTCCTCCTCCTCCTCCTCCTCCTCCTCCTCCCTCTTCGTCCGCTACCCCCCCTGCCCCCTCCGCCCCTCCCTCCGCCCCCCCCTGGCCCAATCCCTGCCCCCACTCAGTTCCCCCCCTCCACCCCCTACCCCTCCATCCCCGAATAACCCCGTCCTCCATCCCTCTTCCCGGTGGCCACTCCTCCCCGTCGCGCCACGAGGCGTGTCGACAGGGCAGGCCCGACGTCTCGGCTGAGCTTTCCTCGCCGCCTGCGACCTCGAGGCTTTGAGCATTCCAACAGCTGCACGGAGGAAGGGCGAACGGCCTTCTATCTGGATCTCTCGCCTTGGCGCCGCGCGCGCTCGTCTCTAGCATTTCCAGCGTTGCAGCGGACGGAAGGCTGGCCGTTTTCAAAACGGGGCTCTTGCCTTGACGCCGCGCGCATTCGGCTTCCATTCGTCCAGTAGTTACACGGACAGATGGCACAGGGTGTTCAACATGAAGCTCTCGCCCAGTGGCTGCTCGCGCTGCGCTGATGGAGGGTGAACGGCTTTCAGCATGGAGCTCTCGCCTCGGCACCGCGCGCACTCGTCACACGTATAGCCACTAATGACACGGATGGATTGCGGGCGGCTTTCAAAATCGGGCTCTCGCTTTGGCGCCGCGCGCGCTCTTCTTGAGCTGTTCCGGTTCCAGCAGTTGCGTGGATGGAGGGCGAATGGTTTTAAAACATGGAGCTCTCGCCTTGGCGCCGCGCACGATCGCCGTACACACGTCCCACATTTACGCGGACGGCTGGGCGTTGTCAAAACGGGTCTCTCGCCTCGGCGCCGCGCGCACTCGTCTTAATATCTTCCAACCGTCGTCTTAATATCTTCCAACAGCTACACGGGTAGATGGCGAATGGTATTCAAAATTAAGCTATCGCCTAGGCGCTGCGTGCACTCGTCTTAACCGTTCCCAGCAGTTGCACGGATGGACGGCAGCCCCGTTTCAAAACGGGGCTCTCGCCTGATGCCTCCTCAGGCTATGCTACCACGATCAAACACGTGTGTGTAGTAACGATTCGGATGGATGGCGGATCCTGTTCCAAGTGCTTCAGATCGAGTGCTAGTTCTTGGCCATACGCCTTGACGTGTGCAACAGTTATCCCGTGGAGGGTGGCCCCTTCTCAAAGCGGGGTTGTCGCTGCGCGCTTCCTTCAACTTTGTGACCACACAGAGTCGCATACCTTACAGTTCGGAGGATGGACGGCACATTCTTTCAAAACGGATCTCCCGCACGAGCTGCGGGCCCGTTGGCGTGAAACAAACGTTTGGGGGTCGACGTTCCCCTCCCTGGGCCAGCTCCCCCCCTTGTCGTCGCCCCTGGTTTTCCCACAGGAGGTCGGGACTGTGCAAAGAGAGACGGCGGGGCAGGCTGGGCAGCTGCCAACAGGCTGTCGCGGCCCGTGGGCGAGCAGCCGTGCCGCGAGAGGCGTCCCCCGCCGTCCAGGGTACAGTCAAGCTGCTACCCGAAGGATTGCCAAGCAGTAAAGAGCGAAGCCCGTTTTTGGCCCCAAACGCGCTGGTATGCACGAGGAGCGTTCGATGAATAACCATGGGAAGGGCCCAGGGAACACCGAGTCCTTTCTGAGTCAGAACTGCTCTTTCGTTCAGCATCTTGGCTTTATGGGATCCTTCTCCCTCTAGTAACGCATCGAGCGCAGCGTGATCACACTGTCCGACCTTGCTGGCAGCGGAGTTTGTGCAGTCAGAACTGCGCGCGATGGTCGCATGCAAGGTTCGCTTTAGCCCTGTACCAGCGCTGCGTCGACGGATAGTGGCCCGTCCTCCGGTGCCCTCGAGCCGTCCAGGAGGCTGGGGAGGGGAAACACGATGAAGACCCAAAACCATCAACGGCGACAATGCAAACGAAACCCGACCGGACCGACCACGAAGCCCGAACCGACCGACACCGACAGGCCGTGAGCAGCCCAGTCCTACGAAGAAACAATAACCCCCTCCTCCTCCTCCTCATCCTCCTCTTGTTCCTCCTGCACCTCCTTTGGGTGCCGCCCAGAAGATCTTGATTCATGGGCCTCCGCGTGGCATACTTCTCGCTTTGCGCCCTTGCCCTGGTGCCAGAAGCGTTCCAACTTCCTCTGGTCGGGGGGGAGGGGCACACGTCGTTCATGAATCACCGTGCTTATTTCTAACTATGCTCGTTTCTAATTGTTCCTGGCCCCCTAGTGGCCAGGGAGAGGCCCAGGCTAGAAGAACTAGAAATGAAAGGATCTTGGCCCCCCCAAAATCAAAGAACTTTCGAATAGTTAGACTTGAACAATGGGTACTCGTTGCTTCCCAGGGTTAGAGTGTCGTAGTGGCGCAGCAATAACACAGCCACGGGCCGAACCAAACCGAACCGATCCGAAACGCAGCTGACCGCGACGCGGCCGAGCCGACGGAACCGCGGACAGCCTTGCGACAGTGTAGGCTCTCCGCCTCCACTGAAGGGGCCCACAACACACACACACACAAATAAATACACACAAATAACAGTAATCCCAATATTTTTCAGTATTTTCTGGGTTTCTGTCTTCCCCCACCCTTCCCATATTTTCCCAGATTTTCCGGGGAGTCGACGATTAATTGTGTCTGTGTGTTTCTTTCCCTCCTGATCCACCCTCGGCCCAGGAAAACCGCCACCTCGCGTCGGGAAAACTGATCCATCCGTGGTTACGCGAGCGACGAAAGGCAAGGGTATCACGCGAGAAGACGTAACAACCTTACGCCGCGGCTTACGCCGGCCGCCAGCGTTGCACACCGCGTTGACAAAACTGAAGGGGAACTGGGACACACAAGTAAATGCACACAAATCATCCGATTCCCTATATATTTTCCTATATTTCCTGGGTTTTTGTCTTCCCCCCCCCCTTCCCATATTTTCCCATAGTTTCTGGGGGATCGACGATTCATTGTGCCTGTGTGCTCTTTTCCCTCCTGGAAAAAGGGCGCTCGCGCGCGGCCTTAGGGAACTTGCGCGCGAGTGTCCGCGCAGTCGGCTCCGCTTCCTCCCGTCGCTGACGTGCAGAAGCGCCGACTCTCAGTGACGGCCGGACGTGGCCGTCCGCTGAGCTGTACGGCGCCGGGGGTGCAGGACCTGGCCATCGCTCGGACGTCCATTTCCTGTGCTTTTTTCGGTTTCGTGCGTGGTTTTATCGCCAGATGATCCAGGATGCTCCTCGATGGTCCTCGACGAAAGAAAAATGCACACGTCCGAGCGATGCCAAGCCGGGGGTGCAGGAAAGGGGCAACAATCGAAGCACTCTTTAATCCGCAGCGCCGGCGGACGCAGGCACGGGTGTCGTTTCCGGCGGGCCACGCCGGGCGCGAAGCGCATGGGCAGGTGGACATGTGTTTCACTAGGGCCCTGCCCTGGCGAGAGGTGGCGCCAAGGAACTGGGTGCCTGCTTGCAGGCGCTGGAAGTGACAACCCCGCGGGGGCCCACGCGTGGGAAGGTACCTCGGGAACCCGAGAGGCTTAGTCGGAATCGCAAGACACCGCGCAGCTTACACGGGCAGCTTGGACCAGCGGGGCCTCGTCCTCTCCGAGGCGGAGGGTCTCCACCCCCAAGCGCAGCTGCCTGCCAGGCTACTCGCCATCCGCGCCGGGAGGGCGAGGCGCCCAGGACGAAGGCAAACGCCTGGGGTGGGGGGCTGGCCTCGAACCCAGCAGCGAACTCGGTTGGAACAAGACGACTTGACGGATCGACAGGACCGAGCTGCTGGGCGGGCTCCCTGGGACCCGCCGCCACTGAGGCGGGTGGATCGGGAGCCTCGGTTGCCTCCTCACCCTCGCCAGGCAAATCATCGACGTCGACCCACACACGCTTGAGACGAGGGTGCCTGCCACGATTTTTTATAGACCAACCATCTCGATTCTTTCGTGTGGAGCTTCAATTACACTCTTCTCCTAGGAGCGCCAGCGGGCTCATGGTGGTAGAGGCCTTGCAAGCCAATCATCAACATCCCTGGGCCTGGTAGCGCCAAACCCATGGGCTCGAACCGCTGGCATCGCATAGCACTCCACTATCCGGGGACCCGGGTGGGCCCGCACCAGATGCCACTCCAGCGACGGCTCGGTCTGACGTGCAGTCGACCTGCCCCCCCTCGTGCGCGCTAACAGGAGTGATCAAGGCCCTCTATGGCGCGCTCCAATAAGGTGATCTCTCGCTGCTGCTGCGGCTGCTGCTGCGCCTGCGCCGCCGCGCCGGCCCCCTGCTCGCCCATGGCGGGCCAAAGGGGCGGGGCTGGCCCATCTGGCAGCGGCGGGTCGCTGCACGAAGCGGCATTGAGGAGGAGGGAGGAGGGAGGAGGGAGGAGTGAGGAGGGAGGGAGGAGGGAGGAGGGAGGAGGGAGGAGGGAGGAGGGAGGAGGATGGAGGAGGGAGGATGGAGGAGGAGGATGGAGGAGGAGGAGGAGGAGGAGGAGGAGGAGGGATGAGGAGGAGGAGGAGGAGGAGGAGGAGGAGGAGGAGGAGGAGGAGGCTCCTGAGTTGTGCAGTAGGCACGTGCGACAAGAAGTCCTGCTGCAGGGAGCCCCGGGGGAACATCCTTCGTCGACCCCGAGCATCGCGAGATGCCGCGGGGCTCTGCGGGCCCCTTCGGGGAGGCAGGCAGTCCACGCGGGGCACCCGTGGGCAGGGCGATTTCTCCGTTGGTGTGCCCGCCGCAAGCTGGGCGCTCGCCACCGATGCTACAGTTTTGATCTGCGGGGCGAGAGCGAACCTCTTCCGCTAAAAGCTAGGCGGGCTACGCACAGCTTTAATTAGGGAGACAGGGCACAGGAAGGCGGGCCACCGATGCTACAGTCGACCAGGATAGTAAGGATACGCGGTACAGTCGGACTTCATAGGAGGGAGCACTCGAGGGGACACGAGACCCTTCCGCGGGCCACGTTGCCACAGAAACGCAGGAGGCATGGGTCGCAAAACACAAGGACACGAGGGCACCCTTGATCTGGCAAGGTCGACCTACTAATCCGGGCCGCCTGGAAGGATGCAAGGGCCTTGGAACGCCATGTAACGTTTTCCGTGCGGAGCGCAGCAGAATGCCGAAGGATGCCGAATACCGAAGGGGCAAGGATGCGAGGGTAGCCTTGGGAAGTTGCCCCGTCCTTACTATCATGGTTGACTGTACAATACGCCTCCCGTCCCAAGGTCCCCTCCTCACGTTGTCGGCGCACGTGTGGCACTCTACATTGCGGGCTGTACCTTCTGGAGAGCTGAGGGTCTAATGGACCTGCAAGGTAGGACCTGCATTTCTCTTGTCATGTGCATCAGCGACCATCTGTATTACGCTTCGACCGCGTGATCGTGCAACAAACAAAACGCGAGACACCCTACATCCTCCAGCCAAGTAGCTGGTACAGGCTGCCATGGCGCCAAATCGAGACCAGGATTTTGAAAAGGAAGAGCCCTCTATCCTGGAGGCCTTGATATGGGGCAGTCTCAAGCGAGAGTTGTCAATGAACCGCCCTCCGCCCTCGCGGCTGGTGGAACCTTATAAACGAAAATGCACCCATTAGGCGATGCCCAGATTTTGAAAACCACCCGCCCTCCGTCCGTGTGGCACTTGATGACTTTAAAGAGGAGTGTGCGCGGCGCTCAGGCGAAAACCAACTTTTGAGAACGACCTGTGCTCGTCGGTGCGGCCGATGAAAACTGTCAACACGAATGTGAGCGGCACGGAGGAGAGATCCAGATGTTGAAGATCACGCGGGCTCCATACGTGTTCGTTTGACCTTTAGAACCTGCAGGCTTTCGGGCCATCGTCTGCGAGGCTATCAGGGTCTTGGGCGGGACTGGAACCTACCACCTTTGCCCCCTGTCTTCCGCTCCTGCAGTAGCAACATATGATAATACATCTTACTAGAAGACATATTGGAGCACATTTGTCGTCGATCTTTGAGGGTCCTAAAGGTGCTCCCCAGCTTCTGCGGGTCTCTGGGGTCGTCGGGGCGTACTCTATGTACCCACTGTGCTCGCGCTGTCTCCCTAGATGGGAGCACTTCTCTCAGCACCAGGCCGTGCAGCGCAACCATCTTTGCGTTCCTGCGGTGATCCAGCCTCCTCTTCCCCCTCTCGTACCCCCCCCCTGCACGAGGGACTTGCCGTCGATCGGACGTCCATTTCCCGTGCATTTTTCGGTTTCGTGCGTGTTTTTTTGTTGCTGTTCGATGGTCCAGGATGGTCCTCGATGGTTCTCGCCGAGAAAACATGCACACTTCCGAGCGATGCCAAGGGGAGCGGGCAGAGCCAAGAGCAGGGGTGAGCGGCGGGCCGGCAGCGGAGCGCGGCCACGGGCAGCTCGCGGGGGGCCCTCCCGCACCCCTCCGCCGCGGCAGCTCTCTGCGCGGCGGCCCGGTGCCCCAACGGGGCTCCCGAGGCCTTCGCTCGGGAAGCCTGGCCGCCGCGAGCTCTCCTCCGGCCGCCAGGGGTCAGGGCCTCGGTGTGGGCGCTGCAGACAGTGGCGGCACCCAGGCATCCTCCGATCCGATTTTCTCAATGCGCGGCCCCGGAGGTCCCGACCCCCTTCCCTGGGGCCAGGTTGTCGCCCCAGTTGCATGTTGATGGTCCTGGGGCCCGATAAGTGGCCCTGGAAAAACCCAAATCGAGGAACATCGGCGGCGAATTTCGAACCCTGCACTCTCCGATCGACGATTCAGGCAACTCGATGGGTGGCGGGAGTAGGGTTCGGAATCCGCCGAACACCTGGCGAGATCTGAATCCTATCCTGGCCTCCCATCGATTCGATTCAGGAGAACCGATGGCTGGAGAGGATGGGGCCCGGATGTCGCCACATGGAGAGGACATCGGTTAGAAAAAAAAACACATCGTCGGATATCTTCCTCCTCCTCGGCTCCTCGGCTCCTCCTCCTCCTCCTCCTCCTCCTCCTCCTCCTCCTCCTCGGCTTCACCGCGGCACCGCGGCCGCTCCCAGAATCCTCGCGGAGGCTCGCTGGGACCCGCGCGGCGCCGTGGGCCTCGGCCTTCGCGCGGCCGGCGCAGGAGGCCCCGCGCGGCGACGAGGCGCGGAGAGAGAGAGAGAGAGCGCGACGGCCAGGGGAGGGCGCAGAGCCCTGTCGCTGGCACCTGGCTGGTCTGGCGCCGTCCACCCAATCTGTCAGAAATGCCTTCTTGATGGGCGCACCCCCCTTCCGTCGCGGGTTTGGGGGCTCCAGCGGGCACGCCTGGCCCCAGTGGACACTAGCCCTGAAACTGGTCTGGTGCTGGGGCCGCGGATTGAGGGAGGAGGAAGAAGATGAGAAGGAGGAGGAGGAGGAGGAGGAAGAAGAAGAGGTGGAGGTGGAGGAGGAGGAGGAGGAGGTGCAGGAGGAGGTGGAGGTGGTGGGGTGGTGGTGGTGGAGGAGGAGGATGATGATGAGGAGGAGGAAGACCAACGACTCCTCAACGATGTTGCAATCACCCCTCCCTGGCCTCCTCTGGGCGGCCTTCTACCCTGGTCTCCCCCCGCCCCAAAGGGCTTTGGATCGCTTGCTTGTCGTCGTCGTGCCGTCGTGGCCTCCCCTGACCCCCCCGCTCTGGCCTCTCTGGCCTCCCTGGTAGCCCTCGCCTCCGGCCCCTGGCCTCCCTGGCCTCCCCTGGCCTCTCCCCCCCATTGCTTCGGAGTGCGTTATCGTCGGCCCCCCCTGCCCTGGCCTCCCTGGAAGCCCCGGCCTCCGGCCTCCCAACCTCGGGTGGTAGCTCTGGCCTTCCAGCAAGGCCCCGTGGCGCGGAGCCGCTTGCTTTCGTCGTCGTCGTCGTCGTCGTCGTCGTCGTCGTCGTCGTCGTCGTCGTCATCGTCGTCGTCGTGCGCCTCCAGGGCCATCTCGGCCTCCCCTGACTTCCTCGCACCTGGCCTCCACGCTTCTCCCTTCCGTCGCCGCTCCCACGCGCAAGAGCCAGGGCATGCGTGCCACCTGTTCTCGCTGCAGGAAGTGCCCCCTCGAAGAGCAACCCTGCGATAATCCCCAATCGTGTCTTCCATTCCTGGGGCTTCGAGCCGCGAGTCAACGTGACTGTTGCGGCCAGACAGTCCCAAATTTTGCAAGAGCGCAATTCCTGGGACCTCATCACCGCGAATCAACGTGACTGTTACGTCCTGACTGTCCTGAACCGTGCCAGAAACAAATCCTGGAACTTCACACCTGCGGATCATTGAAGTTGTTGAAACTTTTAAGACGAATGCGCGCGGCGCTAAGGCGAGATGTACACTTTGAAAAGGATCCCACCCTGAATCCTTGAAGCTGCTGCACACTATTGAAGCGCATTTGCGTCGCGCCAAAGCGAGGAACACTTTTTGAACACCAGCCGCCATCCATTCTTCAACCCTGCGGCAAACGTTTAGGACGAATGTGCGCGGTCTAGACTGGGTCCGTGTACACATCCGCTCCGCTGGATCTCGCAGGCGCCCACGAAAGTGGCGACTGTTGCGCAGTTGGCAGCCTCCGAGGAGCCAACGCTAGTGGCGACGCTTGACGAGGCAGGGACCGAAGGGAGACTTGGAGCAAGTAGTGCTCTACCCAAAGAAGTCCCATCCCAAAGCAAGGTTGGGAAAGGCTATGCCAAGACCGGCGAGAGCCACATTTTGAAAACGCCCTTCCTGCAGACTTCAACGCCACAAACGGTGAAAACGTCTCGGGCGAAACGCCTGGTCCGCCCTGCGGAGGTCTGGGGGTGCGACGGGGAGGGGGTGTTCATAAGGGGCAAGCGCGGCGGAGGAGGAGGAGGAGGAGGAGGAGGAGGAGGAGGAGGAGGAGGAGGAGGAGGAGGAGGAGGAGGAGGAGGAGGAGGAGGAGGAGGAGGAAGAGGAGGAGGAGGAGGAGGGGGAGGAGGAGGAGGAGGAGGAGGAGGAGGAGGAGGAGGAGGAGGAGAAGGTGGAGGAGGGAGGATGAGGAGGACGAGGAGGGAGGGGGAGAAATGAGCAGGAGGAGGAGGGTGCAGAAGGAAGAGGAGGAGGAGGAGGAGGAGGAGGAGGAGGAGGAGGAGGAGGAGGAGGAGGAGGAGGAGGAGGAGGAGGAGGAGGAACGGGAATGGGAATGGGGCCACTGACGAAATCATAATCATATCAAAGGAAGAAAGCTGCCCGCCCGACTCACATGAACACCCTGAGGCCCTCGCTCCTGCCCGCCGAGATGACACCCGAGGAATAGAAACGGACGCCGCCTGTAGAGGTTGACCGCCGTATGTACCCAGCGCAGTACAATATTATTAAGCCAGACACGCCCAATGCCGCAAGCCCACCGCGAGCCGCGAATACCAGACCAGCGGAGATGACCACCCGCCAGTCGAATGCGACAAAACAAATGGCAACCACACATAAGCGTAGTGCTGGGGCAATCACCGAATCTAGTGCGCTGGCATGACGGCGGGACTCAAGCAAGTGACAAGCAAACAACCAACATAAAACGAGGACATGAAAGACGCGGGGAACGTGTTGCCGCCATTACGCGCTACAGACCCATAGGGTAACCTCGAGCGCAGTAAACAACACCATACCACTCCCAGCAACAAAAAAGCGATCTGGCCATCGCTCGGACGTCCATTCCCTGTGTTTTTTTTTCGGTTTCGTGCGTGGTTTTTTCGCCAAATGATCAAGGATGCTCCTCGATGGTCCTCGCCGAGAAAAAAATGCACACGTCCGAGCGATGCCAGGCGATACCATATAGACAAGCTGGATTGAGGACCTGCCATGCCAACAAGGCCATGCATGACTCCGATCGGCACACGCCCAGGCCAACACCGGCGAGGACCTGGCCGAGCGCACGGGAGAACACGAAGCCCACCAAGGTAGCAGACGTACAGGACGTCGGTCGCCGTGCAGCGCAACCGTAGCTGTACTCAACACATCCGTCCAGTCCCGCCATCCGACGGCTGCTACAACCAACCTGCGACAGAAATCGGAACCCCCCAAACGCCTCGAGAAGGCACTGGACGCGGCTGGACACCCACCGCTAAGCCAAAAACTACGGATTAATCTCGAGCGACATGTGTTTGAGAGGAGGAGGAGGAGGACAAGGAGGAGGATGAGGAGGAATGGGAAGGAGGAGGAGGAGGAATGGGAAGGAGGAGGAGGAGGAGGAGGAGGGGGAGGAGGAGGAGGAGGAGGAGGAGGAGGAGGAGGAGGGAGGAGGAGGAGGAGGAGAAGGAGGTGGAGGAGGAGGAGGAGGAGGAGGAGGAGCAGGAGGCGGAGGCGGAGGCGGAGGGGAGGAGGAGTGAGGGAGGAAGAGGAACAGGTGAAGGAAAAACAAATGTATATCCACGATTCATCAACGATGTTGCAATCAAGCCTCCCTTCAACTTCCCTCTCATAATCCCCTGTGGCCCTTTTTTTCTCGGAAACTCCTGAAAATCCGGAGCCGTGCCAAAACACCACTCCTGAGACTTCAGCGCCACGAACTAACGTTACTGTTACGTCCTGGTGATCCTAAATCTTGCCAGCGCACAGCCCTTGGGACTTCAACACCGCGAATCAACGTGAGTGGTGCGCCATGAACATCCTACACCGTGCCAACACATATTTTCTGGGACGACAGCCGTAAGAATTCTTGAAGCGGTTGAAAAGTCTTAAGACGAATGTGCGTGGCGCTCAAGCCCAAACCGCATTTTGAAAAAACACCTACCCTTCAACTTTGAACCGGCTGCAAAATTTAACGCCGAATGTGCGCGGCGATATAACATGAACAACATGTTGAACAAACCACCCACGCTCCATCCGTGAAGCTCTGGCAAACTTTTCAGACGAATGTGCGCGGTGCTAAAACGAGAGCCACATTTTGAAAACCACCCGCCCTCCATCCGTGAACCTGCTGCAAATTTGAAGCTTCGGGGTAATAGATGACGAAGAGATGTCAAACGAACCGCCTGGCCCGCCCTACCGACACGTCTCGGGGTGCGACAGGGCAGAATAATTGAAAAGGAAAAGGGATGGATGTGGATGGGGGGAGGAGGACAAGAGTAAACCCAAACTGCATCAACCGATGCTGCAACACACCCTCCCGTCCCAAGCCCCCCCCTCATAAGTCCATACAAGTCTTCTTTTTCCATTGCGGGCGCCCCCCTTTTGAATGACGAGCGGCTGGTCGGTCCACAAACAAGACGAGGGCGCCTATCGTAAAGGATCCTCCCTTCCACTTATAGGGCGACGACTACAACTTCATTTTTGGAAAAAAAATACCAACCCTCCATCCGTCCAAGCATTTCAAGATGCCAGTGTCGTGGACGTACGTGAGGCGGAAATCCCACACGAGAGTCCTGCAAGGAGGCCCAGGGATAGCGTTATTTTGAAAAAGGACATGCCCTCCACTCTTCTAAACGTTGCAGGATGTCAAATTCGTGGACGTATGCTTCGCGGAAGTCTCACGCGGAAGCCCTGTTTCGAAAGGGGAACCAACGTGAATCCGTGTACGGTCTTGCACAATATGGACCGCGGGGTCGTGAGAGGTCGAGGGACGGTCAATTCACTGTAGATGATGGACATCGTATTCACTGCGCGCGACGCCAATGGGGGGACCCCAATAAGGTGGGGCCTTCGTTAAGGAATGTGCCCAGGAGGCTGCAGACCGTGGAGGATACTTATTTGATGCAGGCGGCGATGATAACCATGGCCGGTCCACGATTGCAATTCCACCGGTCTCCAAACCTTGGATTCCTTATCCAAGGGTTCCTTGTCCAATGCCCCCGCTGTCTCGGAAAGGACTCGCCGTTCCACTCGCGCAACTAAGGACAATTTGGAAGCCGAGTATGGACGGCGCCACGGCGCGAGACCCTTTCCGAAAACAACTCGCCCTCCATCTGTTCTTGGGTTGGAAGCGAATGTGGACCACGCGTCGACGCGATCTGAAATTATCGGCTCCTTGAAGCCGCCTGTGGCGACGAGGGCAATGAAGATGAGGATACTTACGCATGGGTGCTGCTGCTGCTGGTGGCGACGGCGAGCCCGGGAGCGCTTGGGGACGGATTGCTGCGTCTGGGAACGTCTGGGGAGCGCTAGGGTCGAACATCAGAATCGGCGAGGGGTGCCCGAAAATATTGATATGCATTTGCTATCGATGTATAACTGATCTCTGCTACTTGCGCCCAAGGGCTCTTCAGGGCCACGGGGTGGGTCGATGTTGATGATCGACAGATGCACGCCAAGAACAACCGTTACATAAGATGGTGAAAGTAGGGTGAGATGGATATTCGACGTTTTTTGTGCATCGGGTGGTGCAGGTTGGGTCTGGTGGATGTGCACCGGGTACTTTCTACATTAGATAGTGAGGATTGGGTCTTCTGGGCGTACGCTAATCGATATGTTTTGCGTAGTATGGCGAGGGCTGGGTCGGGTGAACTAGTGCGCGCCGAGTGCTATGTTTTTGCATCGAATGGTGACTCCAGGGTCGTATGTATGTTGTGCCGAGTGATCGTGTTTTGACATCGGATGGTGAAGGTTGAGTTGTATGGCTGTGAACCGAATCATAATTTCAGGTTTTGCGTATGGATGTGCGCCCCAAACTACATGTTGCATAGGATGGTGGGAGTTGGGCGTTGGGTCGGATGGATGTGCGCAGCGCTACAACGAGAACCACATTTGAAAACGAACGGGCCTCCATCTTGGAAGCTGTCGCGCATGTTCAAGACGAGTGTGCGCGGCGCTAGGGCGAGAGCCACATTTTGCAAACGACCGACCCAGGCTCCCAGTGAAATTGGTGATCAAATTCAAGCTTCAGCATCATTATTCGAAAGAAAATGTCAGGCGAAACGCTCGGCCTAGCCTACGGACGCGCCCAGTGGTGCGACGGGGAGGAGTTATGTGTAAGAAGAAGGAATGGATGATGATGGATGAGGATGAGGATGAGGATGAGGATGATGATGATGATGATGATGATGATGATGAGGAGGAGGAGGAGGAGGAAGAGCTGCTAGAGGTTGCGCCGCAGGAGGCGGCCATATTATTTCACCCAATGCTCACGAAAACTACAATGTTGAGGCGATAAGCATTCCAGGCCAAACATTCCCGCGTGGCGCGTGTCTGAAACGGAGAAGGGGACTCCACCAAAGACGGCGACCAGCGACCAGCCATGATGGCGAATGTGGTGGCGAAGCGCCATCACCGAATCCTGCGGCCCCTCGCCCGTACGACCCTGCATCGGGCGCTTCTGCAGAGCCAAGTCGGGGGTCAGCCGAAGCGCTCCAACGTCACGGCGGTGCATATGGTTCGTGAATTTTGCGGCGCGTGTGAAATTCGAAAAGTGAGCTGCGCGGGCAGGCCTGTCGATATGAGGTCTGCTTCTGCTCGGCTGTGACACAAGTCGCTCTGACGTAACCCACCGAGAGTGCCGACTTGGAGTTCGTACTGGACCACGCAGATCTCGCTCTTCCCTGGTGGATGCGCTGAGGGAGCAGCTCCATTTTGAGTCGGAACATCCTCGAGACTTGACTCGGGAGACCCGGCGGGCGCCAGCGTGGGAGAGTGCCGGAGCCAGAAGGGTGGTCGCGCCTCGCGCGGGCACTGGGCTCGGGACAGTCCAGGCTGGAGAAATATTTGTCTTGGCATTTTCTTCCGGAGCGCAGGCTGAGCTCGACCAGAACATGCAAGAATAAGGTTCTTGCCGTCGCTCGGACGTCCATTTCCCGTGCATTTTTCGGTTTCGTGCGTGTTTTCTTTGTTGTTCGATGGTCCAGGATGGTCCTCTATGGTTCTCGCCGAGAAAAAATGCACACGTCCGAGCGATGCCAAGGACTTGGGTTGGGCCCCGCCGCCAGGACCCCCCGAGTGTTCGCCAAAGAGCCTGGCGGCTCCCACCAAGCCGCCAATCTTATGGATGCCTTGACGGCTCCGACGGCGACGTCCAGGCTGGAGTCCTTGGTTGCCCAACGCGAGGTCGCGCTCGACATCCCATCTTGCGCGGCAGGTTGGCGGGGTCTTCGGCCGAATCGCGGCGGAAGGCGGTTCCGTCGTGTGCTTTCTCAGGGCCTGGGTCGCCGCCCTCGCCATCGGGCTGCCAGAGAAGGCCACCTCGGGATCCAGCCCCAGCGCGGCGATTCTGCGGTCCGCACGGCCCGCGTCCAGCAGTGTCTGGGGGCTCTTTTTTCGGCGGTGCACAAACCTCCCTTTAATAGACCTCATCTTAGTGAAAACGGCCTGGGACCGAAACCGACGGACCTGGACCCGCAAAAATGACGGCCGCGGGCCCCTTTCGGGATCCACCAAAAAGGGGGGGTGACCCTGAGGGGGGGCATGAACTCGATCCGTTGGTGCACCGAACTGCCGAAAACAGGTGTCCCCCGCATGCCCCACCTGTCCGCAACTATCGGGAGCTGCCGGCGGCTGGGGGGCATCTGTCTTGGGCGGCTCGCTGCAAAAACCGATCGAACTCTCTCTCTCTCTCTCTCTCTCACACACAAACACACACAAACACACACACAAACACACACACAAACACACACACAAACACACACACAAACACACACACAAACACACACACACACAAACACACACACACACAAACACACACAAACACACACAAACACACACAAACACACAAACACACACACACACAAACACACACACAAACACACACACAAACACACACACAAACACACACACACAAACACACACACAAACACACACAAACACACACAAACACACACAAACACACACACACAAACACACACACACACACACAAACACACACAACATACACACACAAACACACACAAACACACACACACACACACACACACAACACACACAAACACACACAAACACACACAAACACACACACACACACACACACACAAACACACACAAACACACACAAACACACACAAACACACACAAACACACACAACACACACAACACACACAAACACACACAAACACACACACACAAACACACACAAACACACAAACACACACACACACAAACACACACAAACACACACACACACACACACACAAGCACACACACAAAACACACACACACACACACACACACAAACACACACACACAAACACACACACACACACACAACCACACACACAAACACACACACAAACACACACACAACACACACAAACACACACAAACACACACACACACAACACACACAAACACACACACACACACAATCACACACAATCACACACACACAAACACACACACACACACACAAACACACCACAAACACACCACAAACACACCACAAACACACCACAAACACACACACAAAAACACACACAAACACACAGACACAAACACACACAAACACACACAAACACACACAACACACACACACAACACACACACACAAACACACACAAACACACACAAACACACACAAACACACACAAACACACACAAACACACACGCACACAAACACACACACGCACACGCACACGCACAGGCACACACACAGAGACACACACACAGACACACACACACACAGACACACACACACACACAGACACACACACAGACACACACAGACACACACACACACAGACACACACACAGACACACACAGACACACACAGACACACACACACACAAACACACACAGACACACACACACACACGCACACGCACACGCACACGCACACGCACACGCACACACACACACACCTACACACACACACCTACACACACCTACACACACCTACACACACACCTACACACACCTACACACACACCTACACACACCACACACACACAGCTACACACCTACACACACACCTACACACACACACCTACACACACACACACGCACACACACACACACACACCGGGGCAAACCCACCCTTTTCGGGCCGGGCGAAAGGGTGGGATAGCAAAGGGGGGGTTTGAGAATCAGCTCACGTAGCTGATTTTTCCAGCGCCTCCAGGCGCCAGGAGGCGCCCAGGTGTCGAGGAATGGGCCCGGCGGCGGGGCCGAAACCAGCTGCATGCAGCAGACTCCCCCCCCCCCTTTTCCCTAACCCCCCCTTTCGTTCGGGCCGACCTTTGCGGGCCAGCTTGCTTCGCCAGGCCTTCCCACGCTGCTCGGGCGCCCTGCTATCCGGGTTTGGGACTACACAAGTTCCCTTTCTCGCAAGCTTGCAAGCTGCACGTAGAACTCTTCGGTGCGATGAGGAACAACCTAGAGCTTCCCAAGAGCAAAGCGGCAAAGCTTAAGAGTAAGTCGAAACTGCGGCGGGAGTTTTGCCCAGGGATGCGGGCGCCCCCCCCCCCGAGCTCTGGCCATCGCTCGGACGTCCATTTCCTGTGTTTTTGTTCGGTTCCGTGCGTGGTTGTTTCGCCAAATGATCAAGCATGCTTCTCGATGGTCCTCGCCGCAGGGAAAATGCACACGTCCGAGCGATGCCAAGAGCTCCTGCGCCGAGGCAGCAAAAAGCTCCGCGGCGCACGGCCAGGCCCGCGGGGCGCCTTTTTTGAGCGCGCGGCGTGGATGCGTCTGTCCACGCCCCGGCGTTTTTCCTCGACGTCGCCCTTAGGGGAAAACGCCATTGAAGGGGCCCCAGGACACACAAATGAATACACACAAATAAAAGGATTCCCTATATTTTCAAATATTTTCTGGGTTTTTGTCTTCCCCCCACTTCCCATATTTGCTTATATTTTCTGGGGAATGGGCGATTAATTGTGTCTGTGTGTTTTTTCCCTCCACAACCAGTGTGGGCATTTGTTATTTCATACTCGCGGGCGCGAGCGCCCTTGTTTGCACTCGTCATGCACCGCGCGGGCGGGACCCCCCAGGAGCGAGCACCTCAAAACAGGCCGTGCTCGTCCTCCTGGGGTCCGCGGATCCCGCGCGCAGCCGCGGCGCGCTCGGCGCGGCAGAGAAGGAATCCAGGGTCTGGAAGCCAGTGGATCTCCAATCGTGGACCGGCCCTGGATATCACCGCCGCCCTCATTGGACAAGGAGTCCTCCAGGGTCTGGCGCCTCCTGGGACTATTCCTTCACAAACGCCTCCGCCGTAAGCTCTTGGCGCTCCGCGCGGAGCGCCAAAAGACTGGGTCGCTACCGATCTTGGTTCAGCTTCCAGTATCGGCCGCGACCGATTTGGAGTGCCAATCAGCCGCTGCCGATCGCGAGCGAACAGAAGTGCAGTATCCGACGACCTGTTGGGGGGGGGGGCCCGCTGTCGAGCCCCAGGCGCCGTCAGGAGTGCCGCTGGGACGAGAACCTGGGCCCCAGGGAAGCGGTCGGGACCTCCTCCTCCTCCTCCTCGTCCTCCTCCTCTTCCTGCTCCTCCTCCTCCTCCTCGTTCTCCTCCTCGTCCTCCTCCTCCTCGTCCTCCTCCTCCTTTTCCTTCTCCTCCGCCTCATGCTCCTCCTCCTCCTCCTCCTCCTCCTCCTCCTCCTCCTCCTCCTCCCACGAGGGGTACCACCAGCGGGGGGCGTTGGAGAGCTGCAGGGCAGGGGGCCCTGCAATGTAGGGCTCCAAGCTCGAGTCCAAGCCGATGGGGGAGGAGGATCGCGCCGCACCGCCAAGGCGTCGTCGATGCATCGGCGATGACGTCTCCTCGCCTTCTCCTCGCCTCCTCCTCCCTCCTCCCTCCTCCCTGCTCCCTGCTCCTCCTCCTCCGCCGCCTCCTCCTCCTCTGTCTGCTCCTTCGCCTGATCCCCCTCCTCTTGTTCCTTCTCCTGCTGCTCCTCCTCCTGTTCGGGGATGCATCGGCGCCGTCGGCGTGGAGGAATTCGGGGTGCACATCGTGCCGCATCGCCGATGCATCGGCGATTCGGCGCCATCTGGCGGCCCCATCTGCTCGAAGCCCATCTGGGAGGCCTGGACGAAAAAGGGGTCCCATAGACTGCCGCCGCGGGCCGAGAAGGTGCGGGGAAGGAGCGCCCTTCTTCGCCTCCCCCCGCTCATGGCCCCCCTGCTGCCGAGCGCCCAACTGGCCAATTCCAGGAGGAGGAGGAGGAGGAGGAGGAGGAGGAGGAGGAGGAGGAGGAGGAGGAGGAGGAGGAGGAGGAGGAGGAGGAGGAGGAGGAGGAGGAGGAGGAGGAGCGGAGCGGAGCGGACGCCTCGGCAGCGGTGCGGTTCGGGTTGGAAAACTCGGTTCGCGTGTAACTCGCTTTGGGCGAGTCGGTTACTGCTGGCAGGTTTAAAGGCGGACACTCGAGGGAGCCTGTGGGACCCTCCTGACCGACGAGGCCTTGGGCCCACTTCGGCTCAGGGCCGAGCCCCCTGTGTCCATACTCGAAACACTCAGTCCAGGGCGGTGGTTTATGACACTACGGCCCATCCCCACCGCACTTGGGTCAGAAGAAACGGTATTTGCTTGGATCTAAGCTGGTCGTTTCTACTCGTCGCTGCATTATGAAGGAACCACTCCCACCCCCCTGCCGCCTCCCCCGACTCCCCGCCCCAAAGCCGACCATTGCCCATTCGGCTGGGCACATTCATCTCTACACAGTGCTCCTGCTTCCTCGGAGGACGTCCGAGGTGTGCTGCTGGGCGGCACTGTCCTGAGGAGAGGAGACCCTACACAAGAGAGGATGGCACTTCGCAAGGCCTCCAGGAGGGCTGCAGGCACTACATGGCGTGAGCCTATTTATTCTGCAATTCTCAAAGTCCGCATGGCCCCAAGGCCTATACGCGTGAGACTGCTCGCATTGTTCTGGCTACTGAACGAGATCTCGGCTGCGCAAGACCCTCCAGAAACGTCCCCCCACTCCCCCCACAGACCGTCATTTGCGCTTGCCGAGTCTCGAAAGCAGCTCTGCTGCCCTCACACTGCCTTTGGCTGCTAATTGCCTAAGCTCGTGAATTTTTACTTGCTGTTTGCTTGCCTCGTTGGTTGCTGCTTGCTTGCTGGCTGCTGAGCGTCCTACTGTCGGCTTCACATGTGTGCGAGCCTCTCGCGCAGGTAGTTCTGGAGACGACGCTCCAGGGCGCTCGGCGGCGGCGCCCCCACTATGGCATTGCCCCCGCTGTTCGTGATGGCCACGTGGGTCGCCTGGCGGAGGTGGTAGGTCTGAGCGTGCTCCAGCTTGATCGGCATCTGTCCCTGCGCCTCGCGCTTCTGGTTGATCTTGGTTTCGTTCTCCTCTGTCCACGGGCTCATCGCCAGCGCGTTGAACAGAATGTGTATCTTCCATCTCGTGCCCATCCCTGCCTCGCTGTATGCCTTCTTGACCTTGAAGTACGGCAGAATGTCCCCGAAGAAGTCCACGTGGATGACGTTGATCAGCATGGCGAACTGCTCGAGGGTCTCTTTGTACGGTGACGGCGTAGTAGTCAGGCTGGCCAGCTCCTCGAAGAACGTCGCTCCGATGTACACGTGCGGCGAGCCCAGGTTCTTCGCTCCGTTCTGTACCTTGTTGGCGTACTCTTGGCCCTCGTTGGCTCCTGCCTCCGACGGCGTGTGCTCTCCCTCGACCAGGTAGAAGTCCCACAAGCTGCCCGAGAGTTGTCGCACGATTTGTGCGTTGTTGAGGCACAGCTTCTCGATCGTCACCATCTCGTCGTCCTTGTTCACCTCGCTGGCGGATCCATTCGACTTGCCATTGCCTGTCTTCCCCTTGCCACCTCCGTACTTGTTGGGTGACTGTGATGCGCTGGCGTCGAGGTCCATCGTCTCCGATCGTGGTCTTCCTCCGCTTCTCGCTCCGTACGATCGCCACATCGTGCTCGTCGCCCTGCGGCTCGTCGCTCGGCTGATGCTGATTCTTGTCAGGCCCTGGCGCGTGCTGCTGCACGTGGTCCAGATGACTGTGTAATTCAGTATCCTCGTGGCGGCAGAAGCCGCAGTAGTACACTGGTAATTCATCGAACCGAAAAGCGAATGACGTGGAGCGAGTCGGGCAAGAGCGAGGCGACCGTTGAGACATTGTGCGAACGTGTCGCAGGCACGATGCTCGACTCGCAAAGGCTGTGCGACACCACGGGCATACGTTTGTCGTGACCAGTAGCGCATACAGGTTCCTCATCTTGTGTGCGTGCGTCACATGTGCTGTTAAGGCCTTCATGCTGTTGAACGTACTTGCGCATATAGTGCCGTCTTCGTTCTCGTGCGTGCATATGAACTCCTCTGCGATGCTGCTGTTGCTGCTAATGTTACTCTGTACCTCCAGAATCCCCATCTTGATCGCATCCTCCTCCGAGATCTCCCGAAGCCCTAGATTTTGTAGTACCTTGTTCCATCTTGTAATGTTCTTCGTGCTCGTAAGGGGCCTCAGGGAGCCTATGTTTATCTTCGCAAAGATCTTACTGAGGGTGGAGTCTTGGAACGGCAAGAGGACGTTTTCCTTATCAGTCCATGCTTCGTCAAAGTCTCGTGCAAACTGCGCTACGAACTTCAGATCCTCAAGACACTGCACTGCCCAAGGAGTACTATATTTTGTCAGCGTGCCAACTTGGTCGAGCCTGCGCCTGCCCAGCTGCATGTCGAGCTCTGTTGTCCCGAACATGGCCGTGAGCACCTGACGATGGTTGTCAGGCTCCTTCGAAATTTGCTGCCACCAGCGTATTCTCTGAATTCTCAGCTCTGTGGCAGTGCGGCTAAGCTTCCAATGATCAAAAACTTCGCTGTTGGATATTGTCCGTATTCGTCCGTTGTCGTATTCTGTAGCCGCACTGCCTTTCATGAGACATCTGAGGAGCTTGGCGAGTGTCGAATCAATCTCGTCCGTAAACTCCTTCGGCAATACGAAAGCTGTGAGACCTGTGATCGCTGCGCTGTATACAAAACATAAGAAAAACATGCGGTGCAGCTTGTACGGGAGGTGCTCGTGCCATACTTGTCCTAGTGAACGCCATGCTGCACGCGCTCCTCTGATGCGGCTCTTGAGTTCAGTCCTGAGAACCCCGTCGAAGCTGATGATCGGTCCAAGGACCCTGACTTCCCGAAGAATTTCGCCCTGTACCTTTTTCTGTCTCCCAAGTTCCCTGGCCGCCTCAAAAGAGCCTGCGCCTGCAAGTGCGATCATGTGGTTCGTCTTATCCATGTTCAGGTGGTGCCCGTTCGTGTTGATGTGCTGCTGCAATGTGTGCGTCGCGTGGTTAAGCTGCTGTGTGATGTACTTCGCGTTCGGTGCGTATGCGTGTACATGTACTCTGGAAACATCATCTACAAAAAGTCCGATGCCTATGTCCACGGTGGCCTTGCTGATCGGACACTGGCCACGCAGCAGGGAGTAGGAGTAATCTGCTTCCCCCAGATACGAGTTCCACTCGCTCACAGAGGGTGAGTAAATGTCAATAAAGTCTCCTGCTGCCAGAGAGTGTCCCATTGTTGTGCCAGTCTGCGGCAAGAAGTCGGCTTCACCGTTTATTGCATTGATGTGTATGCTCGCGTGGTCTATCGCCTGGATCATGAGGTGCGTGTTTTCTGCTCTGCTGCAACGGTGGTGATGTGCTTGTAGTTTGTCGCGTGCCGTGCATGCAAACGCGTTCGTGCCATCGTAGTTGGACATGCTGTGGCTTATTCGTGCTGTGCGGCATCTCCAGCAGGCAGCAGATAAACTCAAGATGGCGCCCTCTCTCCGACGACCTCGTATCCCCCCGTGTGCGAAATCTGGTGCCCTCGGTCTTCGAGATGTCCTCTGAAGGTGTCCGAAATATGACATTCCAAAAGAGTCAAAACAGTGCAGGATCCTCTGACCTTTTATCCCCTGCTTGGAATTGTTCTTGGGCGCAGCGTAAGCCTGTGATCGAATGGCTGTGAGAGGAAAGGCTCCCGTGAGCCGAATAAGTGCCAGTAGATCATTATAACGACGAGAAAAGTTGACTGGCACGTACTTCCTGTCATGCTCGTTGGTGTATCGCCTCGCGTCGATGCCCATGCACAACGCCTCGGCCAGTACGCCCCATGCGGGGCCCGCCCGCCGCTTGGGCGCACGTCGCAAATATGTGATTTGGCCAGCTCTGTCCTGTCGCACATGTTCAGCCAGTTCTGGCGAGCCGTGCAGGTGGGGCATGAAGGACTTGTCTGCGGTCCACTCGTCCCAGTCAATCTGTCTGCAATCCATTCCTCCATCTTGAGGTTTGCTTCCAAGACCATCTTTCCATTCACTCAGCGTCATACTCTGTCGTGGTGCAAACAGCAGCCTCTTTTTTGGTCCTCGGCCTCGTCCAGCAAGTTGAACCCTCAGTCGATGTACTTCTGCATGTCGTCCCTGCTTCCAAGCCTTAAAAATCTCTGCAGCTAGTGTCTCCATCTTCTCTTTCTTCTGTTCCTTTCGTAGAGTCTGCATTCGACGCGAGAGTCGGCGTAGCTCGTCTTCTATCTCATCAAATGCTGTGCTTCCGTTTCCCGTAAAACTCTTCAGCCCCGTAGCATGTAATTGGTCCCGTAGCCGCCCGCGCAATCGCAGTAATTCCATTCGTCTCTTTCTGTGACCTTCGTAGTCCACTATGTCCTGCTTCTTGGCAGGAAAGACCTGCTGCATTGCCTTGCGTATGCTTTCCGATAGCTTGTTCCACGCTGCCTGAACGTCGCCTCGATCCCATATTTCACGCCATTGCTCTTCTGGGATGTCGGTCGCCTCCTGTTCCAGTGCTCTAAGATATTCAAGACGTCCCCTGCCGCTGGTATATGCAGCCATCATGGTGTCTCTGTTGACGGCGGGGGTGTACTTGCCATGGAAGACCTCTTGCGGCTTGATGTCAAACTCCATCAGCACTGGGACATGGTCGTGGAGGTGGGTGCTTATATATCGTTGCAATCGCCTTCCAAGCCCCAGAAGTGTATTCAGTCTTTGTATACGTCCTCTCATGGCTGCTGGTCCCGCTACATGGTCTATCTTACTACTGTGGGGTCCTTTGAAGAAGGTAGGCCCCGTCTTCCAGTACGTGTCGAACATGCTGAGGTGATTTTCCTCCAGGAAGTCCCGAACCAGACGAGATACTTGCGATTCGTGGGTCAGTTCGGCCGTGCCAATCTCCTCACTGTCATGATGCACAAATCGCTTGCCCGTCTGGTCCACTTGGTATCCGAACCCGCAATTCCAATCTCCTGCCACGATCGGTACACATGCATGTCCCAGTTTGTCAATCTCGTCCGATATCCAACGAAGAATCCTTTTTGTCACCTGGCGCAGCGTATTTGCTGCCATCCCCTTCGGCGGCACATAGATCGGGAAGATGGCGATCGACATGCCCTGCATCGCAAATCTCACCATGCCCACTCTGCCTGTGATTCCCAGCTTTGTCGGTGGCACTGCAACCTGCTGTAGCGCTCCTTGAACACGCTTGCCGTACAGCACCGCGAGCCCGCAGGAGTTGTTCGTCGTGCGTGACTTGCGCCAACCCATCTGCACGCACTTGTGGTTAGGCAGTTGGCATTGTGTGGCCGTCATGTCGGCGCTCTCAGCCCATCGTCCAGTGCCTATGCATATCACAAAGTCGGTGCATTTTGTATGTGTGGATATCTCCTCCAGTCTCGTAAAATCTGCCCATTGAACGTTATGGTAAATCAGCTTCATTGCGGCGATATGTAATATGGGAGGGTGGAGTAGATCGTGACTTGCAGGAACTGTCCCAAGTCGGCCCTGGCCCTCGCGTGCCGCCCTCTACGCCTCGCACATCATTGGTCGTGATGGCATGTGGCGCTGTGGGAGCTCGCTCGGGTTTTGGGCCCTGACAGCTCCTAGGAGGAGGAGGAGCATGAGGAGGAGGAGGAGGAGGAGGAGCATTTGGGAAGGGACGAGGCTGGCGGCGAGCGGACCGGGGGCGGCGCGAGGGGGTGGGCTGCCTTCTGAGAGGGCACCCCGCGCCTCTTCAAAGCCCTCCGTGCCTTCTGAGGAGGCCTGCTCAGAAGTCGATAAGATGCGGCCGGCCCCCACCGAGAAGGCTTTTTGCCTCCGATGCTGCTCGAGTATCGCCGCGCCCGCGGGATGCCCAGCTTGTGCCTGCGAGGCCCTCGAGGTTCCTCCTCTGCGCCATCCGTCGTTGATGGTGAAGTGCACCGAGAGCTGCAATGCGCAGATGTCGTAAGCCTCGTGGGCTGGGATAGATAACAATCCCCTATGCGCAACCTTTGCGTTGACCAGAAGTAGACCTATGCCTAAGCTGCAACAGGCCTTACAACACATGAGCTAACACGTCCTGTTAAAATCAATCGATCGGCCTTTGCTGGGCCTATCTGTAAGCTGTGTGTTTGCCTGTGGTAGGCCTATCTACAAGCTGCGCATCGGCCAATGACAGCCCTATCGGTAGCGTCTACACAGGCCTATACTCAACCTGCTGTAGGCCCATGTATAGGCTTATACATGAGGTGCCCGTGCGTATATACTCAACCTATAACGGGCGTGCTTATACAACCAATCACCCGACGGTCGGGCTATGCATCGCCATGCATCGGTATATAGAAAGCCTACGCGTAGCCTATGCATAGACCTGTAGTGTGGCTACAGGTGGGCTGTGGAACGGCCTATAACATTAACGCGCTGGGCCTATGGTAGATCTTTAGCAACCATATGGTCGGCCTGTACATAGGCCCATCGCAGAGCTAGGGGTAGGCTGTAGGTAGGCCTGTAGAAGGGGTGCAGCGGGCCTACAGCAAGTAGGCTCGTGGTAAGCCTATGCGCACCTTATGCGTAAGCTGGTGGCAAGCCGATGCACGAGCTGTACTAGGTTTGTGGTGAGCTTCTGACAAACCTTGGGTATGCTCGTAGTACACCTGTAGTAGACTCAATCCCACCAGCTCTCTGGGCGTAGGTGGTCTAGGGAGGCTCCTCTTCCAATCCCCTTCTTCCCCTTCGGGGAGGGATTCACCCCTGCCCCTTACCCCCTCCCCTCGACCTGGCTTGGGGATTCCGCGAGGGATTGGAGCGTCCAAGATGGCCCAAGACGGCTTCAAGAGCGCTTCAGAGAGCCGAAGATGGCCTCCGAGATGGCTCAAGACAGCGCAAGATCGGTCAAGATGGCTTCCAAGATGCTCCAGAAGGCCCCAAGACAGCTCCAAGTGGCCAAAGAGCTCCCAAAGGAGGCCCCGAAGAGGCCAACATCCTTCCAACACCTGAGGGAAATCGACGAATTTTGCTTTCCTTTTTCCACTTCCGATGGCCATCCGAGGCCTCAAGATGGCTCCAAGACGACCCGGATCCCCCTCTTCTGAGGGGCAACGATAGGGGGGGATGGGCCTAGGGGGGATGTATCGACCTGGAATCGGCGATGCATCGTCGACAGATCGGCGATAGGACCCCGATAGTGAATCCGCACCTTCCTGGGCGGGGTGGGGCTATCGGGCCCCCATGGGCGATCAATGGGCGATTGGGGGTCGATGCATCCCCCCCTGTGCCTATCCCCCCCAATCGTTGCCCCTGATCTTCTCCCCCTTCCTGGGGGGCTTCGTGCCGGCGCACGGGCAGCTTCCCCCTCCCCCCCCCTCCTGGAGGCCTCGCCCCGAGCGCACCGGCCCACCCCGCCCTCTGGCAGTGGGGCGGGGGGTCCCCACAGGAGCGGGGCGGGGGGCTCCTGTCGAAGTGGGGAGATCGAACACGTGGGCCGTGGGCGTCGGGTGCTTAGCTGCCCCGGTACGCAACACGCAACACGTACCGTATCGATGCGGAACTCAGCACGTAGGCTGCCAACGCGGGTCCGACACGATGCATTCGCCAAAACGTGGTCCAATACGTGGAGCCAACACGCAACGTATTGACACGGACGTCTCGAACACGGGACGTGTTGCGTTTCAAAACGTGCGTATCGAGGCAACTAAGGTTGGGTGGGGCGGGGGGCAGGTTGAGTGAGCGAGGAAAGCCCATGGGCTTCTCACAGCCTGCGTCTTTGTGCCTATGCCCGCGTCCGCACTTTCAGGCTGCGGGGGTTCGATCCCCGATTGGGGCGGAACTCGCCGATGACCCTGCTAGCACGCCCCTGGCCGCGCTCATGGCACCTAGTGGATGCAGCTGTGGCGACGAGTGCGCCCTAGGAACCCCAACAACGCCACAACATGTCTCAAACAAGTCCGCACCTCGATCGTCCAACCTCTCCTCTCTCTCTCCCTCCTCCTGGTGTCGTTGCAAGCTCGCCCTGTCGTCGACTGGAGTTCCCATGGCGTTCATGCTCATGATCCCTCGGGGACCTCCGAACGCCTCCAGAGATCTGAGATCTCTGGATTTACGTCGTCGTCGTCGTCGTCGTCGCCTTTGCCTTTGCCACCGTCGTAGGGCGCCCCCCCCAGCACTCCCAAGCACCCCAGACGTTCGTACGCGTTCCCCGGGGTGCTTCCACCTGCACGCTCCCAAACGTTCGCATCCTGGGGCATCCTGGGGGGGTGTCTCGCACCGGGCCGCACCGGCAATTTGTCCCCGGGGGTGCCCGCGGTGCTTCCCGAGGGTGTTCGTGAATCTGGGGGGTGGGGAGTCGCTCCGCACCGGGCACCACCGACATCTCTGTATATATATATATATATTTATACACATGTGTATACATACAAATATAAGCCTGTCGATTGGCTATGCGTAGGGCTACAATAGCTCTGTGCGTAGGCAAGAAAACAAGCCCTGCGGCGCATAAGCCGGCAGGCCTATGCTCTGCCTTCCTGTAGGCCTACTCTAAGCCTCTACTTACGCCATGGCTGCGCTGATTGCAGGCTGCGCGTTGTGCTATGCGTACGCCCACCGAGGCCTACAGTAGGCTGTGCATCGGCTATAGTCTGGATTGTTGATTGGGTTGGGGGCGAAGAACGGTATAACATAAACTTTTTCGCTGTCGGGGGCGCCTGTCCCTGGGCGGCTGGAAAGTTTATACCCCTACGGTGCCACCGTAAGGGTATAAACTTTCCAGCCGCCCTGGGACAGGCGCCCCCGACAGCGCAAAAGTTTATTTTATACCGTTCTTCGCCCGTTAAGATTCGGTTGGGGGCCTGGGCCTGCTCGAATACCACCGCACACGCGGGATGTTGAGACCGTGCTGGCAGGCCCTCGAGGTTCATCCCCTGCGCAGCACGTCGTCGCGGGTGAGGTGCGCCAGGAGCTGCCACACGCAGCCGTTGTCCGCCACCTTGCTCTGTGCAAGTGATGGGGGTGCCCTGGGGCTCGCGCAGCTGTCCATGGTAGGAATAATGTATTGGGTGTCCCAAAACCGTGTGGTGACAGACCTGGCGGTGACCTCGAAATCAGCAAAGACCTCACCGCACGGTCCGTCACCACACGGTTTTGGGACCCTGGAGGCTCCAATCGCCCGAGACATCCTCGGAGAACGACCCAAGTCCCAAAACCGTGCGGTGACCCCGAATCCCCACCGACTCACCACACGGTGTGGTCACCACCCCGTTTGGGAGCCCCCGAATGTAATCATCTCAAATGTCCGAGCCCCGCCATGCCAGAATTTCTGGGCGATTCTGGGCGCTCTCGGGGTGTGCCGGGCCTGGCGCCCTAAGGCGACCTCGAGAGACCCCTCTCAAAGGCCCCGTAGAGGCTTCTCAGAGAGACCCCCAAAGGCTTCTCGGAGCCCCCCTGGAACCCCCCAAGGCAAGGCGGCGGGTCAAGTTGCAGACCACTAGATCCGTCGCCCCGGTAGTCTGCTGGAGGGGTGCTTGGAGCGCAGAGTTATACAGAACATTTGGCCCATCCGAGAAATTCCAAATGTTCTTTGGCCCGTCCCTCTGGCCCCGTACAAGACCGGAATACTAAGAAAACTTGCCTCCAAGACGGCCACGATGGCTCCAAGACGGCGTCTGCTGGCCTCCAATATGGCTCAATATGCCTTCAAAATGGCCTTATCTGCATGGAAGACTGCCCGGGATCGCCTCAAGACGGTCCAAGAAGCTTCCAAGAACGCCCAAGAGGGTTCAAGAGGACCCCCAGGAGGCACAAATCATGGATTCCCATCAGAATTTGGACGATTCTTCGGGTTCTCGCCTTCTTGGACTTCCTTCAGAGCGTCCGCGACGTCCCAAGCAGACCTCAAGGCTGGCCAAGATGACCTACAAGGACCCCGAGAGGACCCCAAGATGGCCCAAGAGAGCACCGAGATGGCCCAAAATAGCTCCAAGAGGCAACCAAGACGGCCTCCGACGGCTTCAGACTGCCCAAGAGCGCCATCGGACGACCCAAGAGAGCCCAACGATGACCCGAAAGCTGCCCCAGAGGCCCCCAAGAAGAGAGCCTCAAGACTGCCCCTTCCCAGTGTTCCTCCAATGGCTCCGTGGCCGCTCGGGTAACACGCGGTCCGCGAGCAGAACCGCACTGGCCCCCGACATTCCATCGCGCAGGCAGGAGAGCCCAGAATCGAATCGATAGGTCGGATCGGCGATCGAAATGAATCGGATCGGCAGAAGTCGGCAGTCGAGTCGGGAGAAGTCGAATCGGTAGAAGAATCGGCAGGCCAGCAAGCCTCCACTGAGGCACCG